GAGATGGACATGTTGTGTATTTGCTATTTTAAAACAACTCTTTTCTTGGGATTGATTTATATATCATTCAATTCACTAATTTGAAATGTACAATTCCATATTTTTTTTTAGTATATTTAGAATTGTACATTCATTATTGCTATCAATTTTAGAAAATTTTCATCATCTCCCCCTAAAACCCAGTATCCGTTAGTAGTTACTCCCCATTTCCTCAGCAAGGGTTCTTCTTCCCAGTCCTAGGCAACCACTAATCTATTTTCTGTCTTTATATATTTGCCCATTCTGAGCATTTCATATAGATGAAATCATATAACATTCCAGTTAGCATAGTGTTTTCAAGATTCATCCATGTAGTAGCATGTATTAGTACTTATTCATTTTTATTGCTGAATGGTAGTCTATTATAGGGATATACTACATTTTATTTATCCATCCATCAGTTATTAAAGATTTGGCTTGTTTCCCCCCCCCCCCCCTTTATTTATTTATATTTATTTTTTGGCTATTGTGAATAGTGCTGCTATGAACATTTGTGTACACATTGACATGTGAATATATGTTTTCATTTCTCTTGGGTAAATACCTAGCAATGAAATTGTTGGGTCATATGGTAATTCCATGTTTAACCTTTTGAGGAACAGTCAGACTGTTTTCCAAGAGATTTAATATTTCTGCCAGCACTGTATGAGGGCTCCAATGTCTCCACATCCTCACCAACACTTGGTTTTATATCTTTCTAATTTTAGCCACCCTAGTGGGTGTGAAGTGGTATCTCACTGTGATTCTGACTTGCATTCTTTAATAGCTAATGATGTTGAGTTCTGTTTCATGTTCTTCTAATTGTATATCTTCTTTGGCGAAATGTCTATTCAGATCCTTTGCCCTGCACACATGTTATTTTAAACTAAAAATAGTATAAAATTTTTAACACATATTTTTAAGCAAATACCAGATGTTGGAAGTGGCAATCTCTGGGTAAAGGAAATTAAGTAATTTCTTCTGCCTTCATAAAATTTTCTAAATTCTTAAGTCATACATAAATTTTTGTCATCATTAAATGTTAATGTATTTCCTCAATTGTTTATCATTTCCTGATTTGAAAAATTAGCACAACAATACTCTGAAAAGGCAACAATAGCTAACATTTTAGCAGTTTCTCCAAGGACATTTTTCTAGACTTGCTGTACTTTTTTGGGATCGTACTCTATGGTCAAGTTCAAATTATGCCTTTTATTATTATCATGATATCGTGAACAAACCCCACATATGAAACAAACCTCTTTAACCATTCCTTCTTAAAGTCTCTGGAAATACCACTGTGTGCAGAATGGTCACAATAGAGGACTTCTCTCTTACACTCACTACTTTAAAATGAAGGGAAAATACTAAGTTACACACACACATACACAATGTCCACTGCCAATGGACACAAACCAAGAAGAGACAGTAGAACGTGGAGAGGATGTAGCCTGGTCCATTCCTCCCCCAATCCGACCCCACCTGACCCCACCCAACCTTACCCCTTACACAGAAAAAGACGGAGCGGAGTCTTATGTAGTAAGAAAAAAATGGGCAATTCTCTAACATTCCTAACTTACCATCTTCATGGTGTGGCTTTGTCTTTTTGGTTAAAGTGTCTGTAAATCCCCACAGTAACCCCAACTTCTATATTTTCCTTATAGGGTATTTGTGTTAGGAAAAACCACATGCCTCTTGCTCACTCGTCCTTTTTGTCTTTCCCTCGTTATAACCCTTTCTCCTGCGATCACCTGCACCTTCAGGACAGGGTGTGCAGGTGGAGCTTGGACTTACGTTTCTCTCTCCCACCACCCAAAGGCTCCAGAGTGTCTAGTGGCAGCAGAAGCTGGTTGCGGGGATTCTGTCTCCTCCCAGGATGACGGAGGCAGTGGCGCTCTCCTGATGGCAGAGGCTCTGGAAGACCCCTCTTTTTCCACTTGCCTCAAGTGTTCAGTTTTCTAGCAATGTAGGCAGTGGACTCCTTATGTTTTCTTGTATGTCCACAGACACTTGCAAGACAGCAGTGCCATCCAGAACGCCACACACACGAGAGGCCGAGATTCTGGAGGAAACACCCAGATACAAGTTCAGGAGAATAGCCTGACCCCTGAAGACGTTCCCTTCTGAGTCTCCAATCAGAGCTGTTCAAGAACAAACCTCGGATGACTTGTCTTCAGTGTAGACATCAGGCAGAGAATGCATGCACAGCACACCTGGGCTCTCCCCTCCTTCCCTGGCACAGCTATTATACATGCATCTCCGGACTCCCTGTGGCCAGCGGGGGCCATGGCTGAGTTCTGGCCAGTGGAACATAGGTGGAGGTGATATTTGCCACGTCCATTCCAGGCATCTTACATTTTTTGCTTCCTTCCAGTTCAGCAGGGATTTTGGAGGCCAAATGTAAAAACAATGGCGCCACAGATGGGAGGAGCCAGCGTCCCCGAATGACCGCCTGAAGTCAACCCTCTCGCCAAACCGTGTCGAATAAGAGATGAACCTTTATTGTATCAATTCACTGAGGATTGAGGGTTATATGTTACATCCGTTTGCTTATTTCCTTTTTCCACCCGCAACCCCAGCAAACTCTTCTAGGTTGCTGGGCCAGAGGGTGAACAATGAGAGCATTGGCAAAATGAGAGCCCTGTTTGGCCAGCAAAGCAGAGAAATGCAAATGTCACCAAGAGGAGAGGCTTGCTAGGAAGGTTCTACCTAAATGGTTTCAAGTCCAGGAAAGTCCCTAAATGTTGGGAGAAGCGAAAGCACAGGTCGGCGCTGGCCTTCAGGGGCGTGCACAGGTGGAGGGGTCCCGGAGGACTTGGGAAAGCTTCAAAGGACTCCACTGGACGATCCAAGTCAGCGTTCAGTTCTCTTCTACAAGTCCTGTGCCCTTGACCTATGCGCACCCCCTCCCTTCAGCTAGCAACGAGGAGAAACTCCACATCGGGGCTCTGAGGGCTGTGCCTCCACCAGAGCAGAGCTCATCTCGCTCTCGGCCAGCACCGGAGCCCTTCCCCCATGGTGACAGGCAGGCATCAGCTGCCCAGATGTCCTGAGTGGACGGCTGTTGCCTCTATTGAGGAAACTTGAGTGTCTTTACTGAATTCATTTCCTTCTTTCCCAGCCTTCCCCGTAGATTCCTTTGTTTCTTGGTATTCTTTCTAGATCTGTTTCTCTTTTATGGCGGCCCGTCTGATGTCAAATGTATTCACCATCGATAAGAAATTATTTTAATGTTTTAAAGAGGAAGAAGATAACTGAGTACTTCACATATTAGGACAAAGAAGAGCGTCGCGTGGCAAACCCATGCTGAGGCATGGAGTCCAGGGCAGATTCGGCTGACCCTCTTCTGCTCCAGGGGATACATGGTGGCCTGGGGTTTTGCCCCTGGTTCCACAGCTTGTTTCTGTGACTTTAGGTTGTCTTCTCCACATACTGTTCCCCAGGGTATAATAGTTGCAATAGATTTTGCAGTTTTTGACTTGAGGAACATTGCTGACTCATTTCTGCCTTCTTTACCTACCTCGAGCTTTAAAAATGGCCTCTCCAAACAAAATGGGGGGGGGGGGGTGCTTTCTCTCATAGGAAGGCCTTGACTTTCAGGTTCCTTAACACTCAAGGTCAGACTTGATATAAAGATTGTGTGTCTACATGTTAGTGTCTGTAGGACGCTTTCTGAAATAAACCTTGGTTCTCTGTGCTATCCTAACAATTCTCTACTTTCCCCCCTTCTTTCTCCCGTCTGTTCTGATATTCTCTCATTTCTTGTTCATTCTTCAAATCAAACACTATTACGTTTATATTGTTTTTAAAAATAATTTCTGGGCAAAGTAAAAATTCAGCTGGAAAAGGTATGTGAGACTGTTTCTAACAAGAAAAAAAAATGGTCAAGAGTAAAGGACTAACTGAACTCAACAGAAACCATTGTGTAGGCTAGTGGAAATTAGAAGTTTTAATAGCATATACATCAATAAGTGTAAAAACAACACGACATTGAAATGTTTCTAAATCCTAGAATTTCCCCACCCTACCATAAGAACTTTAATTTCAGGAGTTGTTCATGTGCATTTTTTCACAGCATTATAATCTCAATGCATATAATTTTATATTTTGGTGAATTTGTTAGGGAAACCCTTTTTAAAAGTTCTTTTTCATATTTTTGTAGCTGGATTACCAGGTATATTGGAGAACATTGTTGGGGTCAGAGCGGAATGCCTAACATTGGGCATCTAGATGTCCTAGTTTCTGGCTGAAGAATGAGCTAGTCTTGAGAGCTAGAATGACACCAATCTCTAGACAAAGAATGGTGAGTTAAGTGGGGCTTGTAGCTGGAAGAATTGCATGTTTTCTAACTGAAAATGAAAAACTTAGCAAAACAGTACTTAGGTATTGGAAATTATTTGAGAAAGGCTGAGATTCATGTACACCTCTTCTAAGGAGTTCCGAGGCCTTAATATTCCACCTCCTCCAGGTTTTGCTACTGTATGTGTTGAAAGGGGGCTGTAAGAGTCATTGTCTGTTAGGTTTATGACTCTTCAATGCATCTCATCAAACACCCTCATGATATAGATAGGAATCTGAATCTGAGGACTCTGAAGCTGAGAGAGAATACAGACTTCACTGGTGCAGTGGGTGGGGTGGGAAAACAGGTCTTAGCACTCCTAGCTCAGTGCTCTTTCCAATCCTGAGAGGAAGGAGGAACAAGAAATGAATAGGATTAAGAGAGTCCAGCTGGTGTGGCTCGTTGAGCATCGACCCATAAACCAAGAAGTCCCCAGTTCAATTCCTGGTCAGAGCACATGCCCAGATTGTGGGCTTGGTCCCCAGAGTGGGCTATGTAGGAGGTAGCCAATCGATGTATTGCTCTCATTGATATCTCTCTCTCTCTCTCTCTCTCTCTCTCTCTCTCTCTCTCTCTCTCTCTCTCTCTCTCTTTCTTCTTCTTCTTCTTCTTCTTCTTCTTCTTCTTCTTCTTCTTCTTCTTCTAAAGGATTAAGAAAGAAAAGATGCAGCAAAGAAAAGAAAAGCTAGCAGAAAGGAAGATGGTACAGGGAAAAAGAAGGAAGGCAGTAGGATGAGGGTTTCAAGCCTTGCTAACCTAAAGAGCAAAACTGAAATCAGAGGACACAGAGTCCTCTGAAATGAGCATCTCATTTCAGGTATATATAGGGGTTCACAGAGGTATACAGGGGAGGCAGCTGAGCAGTGGCTTTTCATGTCTGCTTGGAAATCAAGTTTCCAGAAAGAGAAGACAGTGTGATGGAAGGTGGTCATTCAGGGGCTGTGGAGAAGGCAGCCTCTCCTTCTGTTTCACATCTGTGGAGGCAATGCATGCCTTTTTTTTTTTCTTTCATAATTGACATTTTATCAATTCCTTTGAGCATAAATACAGACATTTCAATTTGTACATAATTCTTAGCATATGTACCAAAAACTTAAAGGTTACATAGTTGTGATTTTTTTCTAAACAGTTATTCCAGTGAATTTTCAGCTTAAAATGTGGAGGTTAATTTTCCTTAATGGAGTACCAAGTGCCTATATCTTCAAACGTTGATATGCTATAACATCAAAGTCCCACTAATTTGCAATGTAATATCATATATGCTACATGATGAAACGTTCAATCTTTCACATTAACAAAGTTACCAGGGAAACTGGACTGCCTCACCAGAGCTGTCACAGATGCACAAAATTCTGACAAGAAGAGCCAAGGTTGAGGAGGGGTTTTCTTTAGGAAACAATACCTCCAAAAACATGGGAACAGAAGTAATTTAAAATGTTCAAGACACATGAAATACACAATGGATGCCATATTGCCATTTAGTATGCTTTGTATGATAGGATATAGAAATGACCCCCAATTATGGAATGTTAAGACAAAGCCTCCCATATTCAACATCCCACTATTTTCTGGTTGTACAAAAAAATAAATAAAATAAATAAATAAATAAATAAATAAATAAATAAATAAAATAAACAATCAACAAATTATTTCCTCTTTTAAAAAAGTATTTACACTACAAAATAGTTGATAAAAATATTTCTCTGGATTGCATAGGAAGGGAGACAAGAACCACTGATAAGTCATGGTATTATATGTCTTATAACTAATATTATTAATATGATACTAATCAGACTTGGCTTCTTTCTCTGCTGCTACATCCGAGGCTGGATTCTCATTTTTAGTTTCTCCATTTTCCGCAGGTAGATCTTTAAGTTCTTGGTCGGCCACTTCAGTCTGTTTTCCCTTTGTTTGTACTTTTTTATCTGCAGATTTATCCTTTCCTGCTGCCTTTAAAAAAATTTTTTTTTCTTCATTTCCACTTTTGCAGGAGCAGGTATAGCTGACAACCCATGGATCTCTTCACGTGCCCTCTGTGGTGTGGTGCTGGCCATCCTCTCGGGGAGGGTGGCTGCTGGGGGGTGCTTGCTGGGTGCCTGAGGGCCAAGGCGGGCCCTGAGTCTTTTGGAGCCTGGGCTGCCTGGCCCCTGCTCCTTCTCCCACCAGCCAAGCTGCTTGGACCCGCCACAAGGCATGCCTTTCATGTGGATTCTTGAGGACTGTGTCTAGTTGAAGAACAGATACAGATGACCTACTAGAAGCACCCATAGTTGACCAATGCTGCACAAATTCCCTCTAGCAACTCCTTTCTGGATACCTATGGGACTTTGGTTTGCCCTTGAGATGTCCCTAAAGAAAAAGTTAAATATGCAAACTCAACCTCCCTCACTTCATTGAAAGGTCCAGGAAAGTTTTATAACTAGCCCAAAGTCCCATAGCTTAGAAAAATTTAGCTAAAAAAGGTATAACCACCCCCCAAAAAACTTAGCAGGTGAGATAGGGCCCTTTTATTTTTATACATACACTCTTCCCCTCAAACCAAAAGTGTGAGTCTCTTTCCTCTCCGCCTAAGTCTGGTGGGTCTTGTGACTGCTTTGTCCAATAGAATGAAGTGGGTATTCTAGAACTCCCAAGCTCAGTCCTTAAGAAGACTGGCAGTGCCCAGTGCCTCCCTGGAAGCCAGCTTCCAGGTAGGAAGTCTGTCCACCCAGAAGAAAGGACCACGTGCTGGAAGGAAGCCCAACCTAGTGACCTGGAGAGGCAGAGGTCATGTGGCGGCAGACTGAGGTGCCTGACGTGTGAATGAAGACTTCTCAGACCTTCCTGCTCAGGTGCCAAGTGAGTGACTCCGGCCAATGCCCAGCTGAGTTCGGCTGACTCACAGAATTATGAAAAAATAGTAAATGGTGGTGGTTTCGGCTACTCATCTTGGGGTGGTTGTTAATGCAGCAATAGATCACTGAAGTGGTGACTTAACATAGTAACCATGTATTATTTCCGGTGAATAAATTCCGTTGGTGGGCATGTCTGCTGATCTGGACCACGCCTGGCCGATCTCCTTTGGGCTTGCTTGTACCTCTGCAGTCTCCTGAGGGCTGTCTGGTCAAGGATGGCCTCAGCAGTGATGACTCAGCTCTGCCCTATGGGGCCTTTCATCCTCCAATGGGCTTGTTCTCATGGAGATGGCAGGATTCTAAGAACAGGAGCAGAAATACACTTTTTTTTTTAAAAAAGGAATTTCTCTCTTTTTAAAATATATTTTTATTGATTTTAGAGAGGAAGGGAGAAGGAGAGAGAGAAACATCAATGATGAGAGAGAATCATTGATCAGCTGCCTTCTGCACACCCCAAACAACCTGCCACCTAGGCATATGCCCTGACCGGGAATGGAACCGTGACCACCTAGTTCATAGGTCATTGCTTAACAACTGAGCCCTGCTGGCTGGGCTGGACTTTTAAAAAAAACAAACCAAAAAACCACACACACACAGTTTTATGTTCACGGCATAAAGGGACTACAAAGTCAGAGGAAAAGGACCTGGATAAGGGAGGGCATTACTTAGGGGCATTAATGCTATCAAATCTAGTACCAGGATTCTATGCTTATTCCTTCTCAGGGAGTATTGTGTAGCATTATTAAGACTTTGGACTAAGATCTGGAAACATTGGAGAAATTATACTTGAAATTAAGTAAAAACAATTAGGTGAGCATTTTCTGATTGTTAAAATGTTCCCAGATTTTCTTGCCAAGTCATTACAGCTAGTGATATTGATCTTGGTTTACTTCCACAGGGTGACTTTCCCAAATTCTTGTTAATAGATTTGGAGAGAATAGGGAAGAACTATCAGGTTTCACTCTGTGTGGTTCCTTGTTCCATGAATTAATGCGCCGTACTGATGATTTTTAAGACTCTTGGTATAGCCGTTTAGAATCTGTACAACAGAGTTAAGCGCTCTAAGTAGCCAGTGGTCGGTCTGCCTTGTGGCGTCTCTCTGGAAACTGAAGGCTGTTGGCTTCAGTGCTTTACAGCAAGGGATCACTCAGGCTCTTCATGGGAAACAAGGGCTGTGTGCCCACATGCATGTGTGCACACGTGTATGTGTGTGTTTGTATATAATGTGTGTGGCCATCTCTGATCCACTGCGATTTAAATTTAATTTTACCTGTGTTCACCTCTCCTGCATTCCCAGCAGATATTGAGAACCGAGTTGCCTTTTCACTTACCTCTCTGGGAAGCAGATTCATTTTCCCATCCTGGGATTTCAGGGCAGAGTCTGAGGGGAAAGAAGGGGAGACTGGGATTACCATTCCCGGAGCCCCGCCTCCTGCTGCTTCCAGTGGTGTCTGCTGCCCCCTACCCAGTGCTTCACACCAGGCCCATGAAGGTTCTTTAGACCTGTTCCTCTTCCCTCCACTGCCCCCTCTATCGACTCCTCATTGAACTTTATTAATTCCAGTGTTTATTTCCTGTTCAAGAACTGGGAACCAAGGAACCTGGGGTTTGGCCCTTAAGTCACTGACTATCTCTGGGTGTTCATTTTCTCTTCTGCAAAATCAGACCACCTGGATAGAAGTGTGTGGCTGCTCTGAGCTTTGAGGGTTTAGGATGCCAGGATAAAGCCAGACACACTTTACAGGTCCTCACCAAGCGATGCCCTAAAAATGCCAGACACATCTGGAAGAAGTAAGCTGGCAAAAGTCTAAGCATGTGGGTTGTTTGTGTTGCCAAGGAATTATTGATCTCCATTCTGAGCTGACATTAAACAGTAACACTCTTCCTCAATGTGTGTTGGGGGGGTGGGTGGGGGGGGAAAGTATAAGAAGATTTCAGAACTGAAAAAAAGGGTTTCATTTGCTGAGAATTTGGGGAGTATCCTTTTAAACAGAAAGTCATGGTAGCTCACCAAGTCAGTGATTTTGACAATAAGGACTATGAATTGTTTGGTCTTCCTCAGGTAGACTGTACGCACCCCACGTTTTCCATCAGTGGGTTGTAGTTGTTGTTTTGGAAAGGAAGGGAGAGGGAGAGAGAAACATTGGTGTGATGTGAAAGAGAACACAGATGATCCTTTGCCCCCCTCACGAGCCCGATGGGAATCGAACCCACAACCCTGGGCTTGTGTCCTGACCAGAATCCAACCTGCGACCCGCGGGGGACGATGTTCCAACGTGAGCCACGCCACTCGAGAGGAAAGTGGAAGGAAGTAACGAGGGTTAGAATTACCCCCTTGCTTTCGGTTCATCTGGGAGAGAGATCCGCTACCTTTTCGGTTCCTGTTGAGTACCTTTAGCTACAGCTGCCATGACGGCATATTTTCCCTAGAAGAGTTCTTTAGACCTGCCCTCTCTGTAGCCACACTGACAGCAGGTGAGCATGCAAGTGCCCCTCGCCCACTCAGCGCTCTCAGTCCGATTTGGTCCCCAACCCCAACACAGCCCATAGGCGCTGTGTGCACCTCCAGCTTTCTCTCCGCGGGGCCCCCCTCGCCAACTCTTCCCTACCTGAGAAGGTAGGTCTTATTTCCTGGGAACACCTGCTGTCCTGAGGAGGGGAGACAGCGTCGCCTTGGAATCCCAGCCTGTCCCTTCCAAGCCGAGTCCAGCGGTTAGGAGACAAGGTGTTGCAGAGTTGCAGAGTGAGGCGGGGAGGGGGGGGGGTGTTGGGGACGGGATGGGGGGGGGGAGCCCCATCCCAAGCAGCCAGCTGAGCCCGGACGCAGCACTCGGAGAGCCCCCGGGAGGCTCCCCCCGGCTAACTCTGGGGACTTGGGGGGATCGGCCAAACCCAGAGGCTCTGCTGCCCCTGCTCTCCGGCCTGGGCACCCCGGCCTGGGCACCCGGGACAGAGAAAGCCGCGTCCCTAGGAAAGCACTCGGGCACCCAATCGGACTGCGGCGGAGGCTCCCGCTGCCGCAGCCGCTGCAAACCGGTCTGGTTTCCCTGCAGGGCGTGCGGGATGGAGCGAGGGGGTGGAGAGAAAAGGGGAAGAGCCTGGGCGGCCGGCGGGCGGGGCCTGCAGCCTCCCGGAGCCGGCGGCAGTCACCGCGCGGCTCGCTCGCTCGCTCCGCGCCCGGCTCCGACTCGGGCGCGTCCTGCGCCGGGACCTGCGCCCCAGCCCGGGGCGCCGCCGCTCTGCTCTCCGGACCGGCTGGGGGTGCGCGGCGGCGGCGAGGCTGTGCGCAGGGCAGCGGAGCCGCTCCGAGAGGCCAGGGCTGTGGTGTCCGCTCGCTGCCGAGTCTTGACCAAAGGACCGACCGGCGGGGAGGAAGGGGAAAGCGGGGACACACACTCGCCGCGGCGCGCGCGCATTGCACACTTGCAGCCGCGCGCCCCCGCCGCCGAGGCGCGTCCGGGGCGAGAGTGGCCCCGGGCCCGGGCCCCGCACCTGCGAGCTCCCCGCGCGGCACCCCGGCCCCGCCCCCGGCCCGCCGAGACCCCGGCCCCTCGGCGCCCCTCGGCCTCACTGCTCTTCCTGCGCCGGGGAAAAGCACCACCACCACCACCCAGATAACTTGCAGACTGTGGCGCAACTGGTCTGGACAGCGGAGGCGCCCGAATGCTGCCCGAGGGAGGTAAGTTTCCTGCGCGTCCGCGGCCCCTTCTCCCCGGACCCTCCTCTGGCGCTCGGGGTCGGGGACTCTGAGCCTCGGACGATCTCTCTTCGCTCCCGCTTGGTCCGCGCGGTGCCGGGGGAAAGGGGGAGGCGGTGCGCGTGGCCACCGGAGCGGGATCTTCCTTCCGCGGGGTCCACGGCCGCGTGTGCGCCCCGAGGGTGCCCACCCGCCAGCCACCCCGCTGACACGGGGCTGCGGTGACACCCGGGGACCATCTGGGTGCCCTTAAGCAGAGCGCCGTCCCTTTTTGGGGGTAACTAGCTGAGTTTGGCAGTAGCAGGAGGCATCCCCCACCGCCCTAACGAGCGGCGAACTTGGTAGGCGCCCGGGGATCTCCAAAGAGGGGGGCTTTCAAGTCGCCGTTCTGGTATTGGAGCCGGATTGAACAGGTGCGGTTCGGTTCCAGCCGAAATGCTGCACCAGACGAACGTGTTTCCTCGGCTCCTCTCCCCCCAGTCTCTCCCCGGCCCAGTCCACTGCCCCAACAGCTGGGGGGGGGGGGGGTTGTGGGGGAGCAGGTGAGCGTGTGGGGGCCACAGAGAGGGAGAATGACCGGGTTTGATTTGCCAGGCCAATGCCAGGAGTTGCCAGAACTGAAGACAACAAACGCCTGCTTATCGCTCATCTATGCAAATGAGCCTGTTGTCATTTCTTATCCTTCCCTCCCTCCCCCACAGTTTACCTGTCTCATTTGCCCAGCGTGGTTGGTTGGATAGAAACCTGGTCCAGAGAAGTTGTTGGAGTAGGCTGATGAGTCTCTCATCTTATATCCTGGTAATCAGGGCTCTCAGCAAAGAAATGTTGAGTTATTCTGATGCTTTCTATGAGCAGCAGAGGGTTGCAGACCAAAAAATGCTGTGTCCCTCTCCCTCCCCGCGTTTCTGTGACAGTCTCAGCCTGCTGGAGGCCCGAGCTACTGGGTGACTGATTCTTGGGGATCAGACGCGTTGGGCCTTTGGATGAGTGAGTCTGCGAAGGAGAGGCAGTGCCCTGGTCAGTTCTTCGGAGGGGAGGTTTGGGGAATCCCTGTTGCCTCTCCGGCTTCTCTCTGGTTCTCTGGGAAGGCTGGGTTCCGCAGGCCAGTGGAGGAAAGTGGAAGGGTTGGTTTCGCTACATCTCTCATGTGAAGTAACTTGTTCATGGAAGCTTTTGTCCGAGCATTTCCAGCTGAAAGGAAGCCCCAGGGCAAAAATCCTTTCTCATCCCACTTCATGCCAATTGAGTAAGCATCGGACAAGGTCTGGAGCTGGGGGAAACGGCTCTGTATGTAGTAATGTGAGTGGAGACTGAGAGGACTGATGGGGAAGCTGGTAAGTCTGAGACTGATGGATCATGATGTCTCACTTAAGAAGGAAACTATTAAGAACGGAATGATTGGACGGTGGCGCATTTTGTCCAGATGAAGGCTAGAGGGATTTAATAATAACACCTTATGTTTGCATCAGTGCCATACTACTTACAATTGCTTTTCAGTGTTCTCCTGTAATTCTGACCCCTCCTGAGAGAAGCAGGGCAAAGACTGTTAACCACGTAGGAGGAATGTGGGGCTCCCACGTACGAGGTCTTCACAAGGTAACCAGTGACTGGAAGTGGAGTCACAGCAAGGTTTTCTAAAATACTCACACGACCCCCACTCTCGCCAGCCAGTGCTGGTTTTGTGATTGTGTGACATTTTTCACAGTGGTCCGAGCTTCTGCCTTTATTTTGGTCTGCACAGTCTCCCTGTGAATTACCGTTCACACTTGACAGATGAGGAGGCTTAGAAGGGTGTGGGGGTTGTCCATGGTTTCATGTCTAATCCAGTGAAGTTTGCAAGGCTAGAAGTCTGAGCTCCCATTGCTTTGTGGGTTATGCCGTTGTTCTACTTCCGATAGTTGTTAGGACACATCACAGATGGTGCAGTACCCCAGGGACTGTGACACGTGCCTGCTGGTGACCTGGGTTCTAGTTCTGGCACCATGTTTGTCTCTATGATCTGGGCCAAATCATAGCACCTCTGAGCCTTCAATCCCCACATATAAAACATGAGGTCTGTATTGAATTTTCCTTCTCTTTCTAGTGTTAGCATTCTATAATGCTTATCAGTGTGTTTGTCATCCAGTGCTATTGTTTTCTAAGGGGGAGGGGGAGAAAGGGCTTTATAACCGTATTAACTAAGGATTTAACTAGTTCTCTATTTCATTTGTAATTTACTCCTCCCTCCCCTTCATCACTTACCACTTAATGAAGGGAAAGAAAAATTCCAAGTGTACTTCAGCTCTGCATCTGTATTGTTTAGTATTACTATTTGATTTGAACATATTGTGAGAGGCTGAACTCCTCTAAAATACATGTCAGGATTTACTTGGAACCACCCCCCCCCCCAAAAAAAAAAAAAAAAAAAAAGAAAGAAAGAAAGAAAGAAAAGAAAATTCCAGTCAGTCAATGCAATACTTTTAGTTGTTTTTTGTTTGTTTGTTTGTTTGTTTTGTTTTTTAATTGTTTTTTTAGCTTTGGGGTTTACATACCATTAAGTACTCAGTAAATAGCTGTTGAATGACGGAGGTGAGTGAAGTAACTTTAAGCACCAGCATCTCATCCCAACACCTGCTGACCCAGAAGATAATTTAGCTACAGAAGGTGTGCCTCCCCCCGCCCCCCAAGCTAACACGTATAGGTGCCCATTGTTGAACTCCTTCCTGAACACATCACATAGAGAAGAGCTGTTCTTACTCCGTGTAGACAATAGATCCATGTCCTCTATGCCATGCTCTCCCCCCTCCCCAACTCAGTTGTTAGTAATGTGTAACCCCCTGAAGGATACAACAGTAGAAATTGACTCGTGCCATTTTATGGAAGAGTATGTCTTGAGAGGGAGAAACCAAACACTCGTTTTTATATTTGAGTAAATTTCACAGATGCTAATACCAGCTCATGGCTTCAGTGGGGGAACCTTGTGAGCAAAACCAAACTAGCGCCTGTTCCCTTTAAGAATCCTCTTCTCTCTCCACCTCTCTTTACTGGAAAGTGGTGTTTAGAAGAATGATGGCAAAGGAGTGGAATGGGTCTTAAATATTATTAACACACCAGTCATTGGGGATTTAGGTGCTTTCTTTCTGATAGAGAATTCAAGTAGTAACTAACTAGTCCAGACACTGGCCCCTTTTATGGGTAAGCCGGCTGCGGCTTACAGAGGTGAGATGGCTTGCTCACAGTCACACAGACGTTTAGCAGGAGGATCAGGACTAATGTGGAATTCTTAAGAAGGTTCCTATTCAAGATTGTGCCTGGGGTTTTTATGGTGAAGGTGCATTCCTTACTTTTAAGAAGACAAAGTTGTCTGTTTTTATCTATCCACTGTGTTTCTCTTGGCTAGGTAGATCAACAGACTCAGAATTAATACTTTGCTCCAACCAGTGCTTGGAGACAGGGAACTATTTGAAAGAGAAATACAAGTGTATGTTGGCTTTCCAAGCTTCTCTTCCTGGTAAATAAAGCCAGATACAGCTGATAAAGTCATAAATGTGTATACATTTCATTTGCATTTGCATTTTTGCTTGCACTTCTGTTAAATGGTGAGTCAGAATACTTAATATCCTGGAAAAGTCATTCCCCCCCCCCCCCCATGGCTAGAGCCCTCATTAGTTACTCTGTAAAACACCACGTTCTAAATGTATTTGTTGCAGAAACATGTTCTCTTTGTATCGAGCACATTAACTGGATTTGGGAGGAGTCCTTCCATTTTTGTAGAAGCTGCCCAGTTCGAAGGGTACATTATGTAGCTCAGCTGTTCAGTGGTGGATGGATCTGGCAATTCTTCTAAATGGAAGGGAAGTCTAGCCTTTTGTTCGGTATTTTCCTTTTTAAAAAATAAACTTT